TGCTTTTGTCCATATAGGCATCGACGCCGTATTAGATTTGCTCATCGCTACATGCTTTGGGAGGGGCAAAAAGATAGTCTTGCCCACACGATTTGGCTTTGGGGAGGGCAAATGCCCATTTTGCCCTCCCCTGGATCCGCCACTGCTGCCGACCTCCCGGCCCCGCCGCCCGCCCGGCCAGACTTTGCCCCGGCCACGGCCACCATCCGGTGTAGCTCAGCGTAGGAGTGCTAGACTGTCAAACTGACCGGTAGTGAGAGGCCCGGTTCGAGACGCTTCGCGTGCTGGATGTTTATTTCTGCGTCCGAGGCTATGCGATCAGTCCACTTTTCAGAAAGATTATTTGACAGGTGACAGGTCTGTTTTCTTTCTTTGCTGCAATTCATGAGGAGACCGTATGGACCCTTACCTGTCCTTCTGCACCCCACTTGGGAGGTGGGTGTTTGAACCCCCTGGGTTTTGTGAATATCTCTAAAGCGAATTTTTGGAGGGTGGATTACGATCGGTTCTATGCGACAAGTCACCACACACACCCAGCCCCAGGTCCGCTCACTCCCTCCCCACATCACCCCCGCCCCACACCACACTCCAGCCCGCCTCATCCACCGAGCCGAGCCAAATAGACAGGCCTGACCCTTATCCCCCCTCCCCCCAGCCGGTGTAACGCAGCGTCCGGTCAAATCGCTCTACCAGGCGACCCGAGCCGGTGTCATACAGTGTGGGTAGGCTGTGCCGCTTCACTCTCGGGTCATGCGGCACAGCCTACCGGCCACCAGGCGGCTGCTGCCAATGCTGAGCCATAGGAACCCGGTGGATAAAGAGTAGTGGACCATCAACCTGTACACGACTGTACCAGAGCTTTGAAAAGGGCTATCCACCGCGGCCACTCGATGGCAGAGCCGCCGAACTTCTCCAGCGTGATGCGCGGCAGATGTGGGACCGCTCTGGTGTCGTCACGGGACGGGCGCTGCAGACGCATTGCAGGTGGAGGCACGGCGCTGACGGGAGCCGTATCCACTGGTGGCACGTGTAGCTGAGACTGAGTCAGCCACTGTCGGGTACGCGTGACCGACTCGTCCGTCTGTCGAGACACGCATACCTGCGCCGGTGGCTCTGTTGCAACCACCGGGAGGCCGGCGCCGGATGGTGCAGCGTAAGAACGAGCGAGCTGCGAACCTCGCTCCTCCTGCTCCAGCAGCTCCAACTCCAGCTGGCGGCATTCTGCTTCATCCTTCGCCGCCTGAGCTTCCAGTGCTGCCTGCGCCTCCGCCTGCCGCCGGGCCAGCTCAGCCTGCCGCCGGGCCAGCTCAGCCTTGGCGGCGGCGGCGCGCTGGGCCTGTTCCGCCTGGAGCTGGCTAAGTGCAGCTCGGCGGCGGCCTTCACTCAGACCGGAGGACGCCGTGCTGAAGCTCGCCTCGCTCCTCGTGTGATACGAGCTTCGGCGGCTTTGATGTGATTTCGCATCACTGGCATGTCGTGACCGTTTGTCAGACATTGCACTCACAGTTCACACTACCGCGTCGTCACTGTAAATCCATTCGCACACTAGTTCACTGATATCCGGCCCGGAGGACCAGAATGTTCGTGAGAATCGTTCAGTTCACCCGTTCGATGCGGAAATGTTCGTGCGTGCTCGTGATCGTTCACTCGTTTTCGTACTCGTTCTCTCTCGTCACCCGGAGGACCATAAAGTTATTGTTCATATATGAAAAAGTCTATTCTTGAATGAAACGGAAACGATTAAAATGCACAAAATACGGCGGTCACAAATGCGGTTCACTGAATCGTTCTCGTAGGGCCACGTCGGCCGCGTCGTACGTAAGGCCACGTCGGCCACGTCGTGCACCGGGCCGTCGCGCACCGGTGGAGTCCCGTCGAAGACTGTCAGGCCCCCGTCCCGTCTCAGCCCTCGTGGTACGCACAACACGTGGGCATGAGAACCAGGACAGGGGCCAGATGACACATATGTGAGCGGCGTGGCGCGGCGGACCGACCGCCGCGCTCCGAGCGCCGGCCGTCTTTGCGAAGGTATACAAAATGCCTATTTGCTCGCTAACAGCGTCTTATATCCCGGGAAAAACTGTCGAACAAAACCTAATTTCATTTACCTCGATGCTACTGATGACGTCACAGATCAGGTCAAAGTAAAAATTATCAGCCATTTGGCTTGTTCACAATTTAGGTTCTGGCCACCGGCTTAAGTCCGATCAGGCTCATTTTTGATTAACGCACTTCTTGATTAATGCCTTACATACCATGAGGGTATCGAACCTGTACTACGAATTTTTAAGGTCAAGGCCAGTTCATCCTAGGTCACGGAAATTTTATACCACGTATCGGTCACGTGACGCGTGTTTTATTGTTCATTTCACTCAAATATTTCGAAAACAATGTCGCCTGTGCCATTTGAGGTCATTTGTAGCTGAATTTACCTGAGGTCAGGTCACTTCAGGTAAAACGGTCAAATTTTGAAAATGATTTTTTTCAACAAAAAATGTGCCTATCAGGTACAGTTTGAGCTCAGGAACACGATGCTGCTATCTATGTTCGTGTATGATGTCAACAACACACTGAAAAATGGATTTGAAAAATCTATAATTATGAAATTTTTAATTTAATGCGTAGTTATAACTTGGCTATTTTTGAAGACATTGGTCTAAAACTTACTATAGCAAGTCATCTATGGGTTTTCTATTACATATATGCCTTATTTCGAACTTTAAATAAAATCGAAAAAATCAAAATATATTTTTATAATTGCATGTGTATATTTTTCGACATTTTCAGGATTTTGAAAATCTGAGATAAAAGTTTGATAGGCACGTTTATTTCAAGCCCATTCATTCAAAGAAATTAGATCTAGTTTAAAAACTGAGCTCTTGAGAGGGCTTGCCGTAGTCCAATCTTTTCCATAAAAATCGGCCGACATGACGTCACTCTGACGTCATTTTCGGACGACCTATGGTAGCTAGAAAGCTGAAGTTTGGACACAAGGTGTCAAATTGATGCTGGTGAAGGTACCGCAAGTTTTGTGTCGCTATGTTAAACGGTTTGGAAGATATGGCCGAAAAACGGGAGGGGGCCCTGTAGAGCCTCCCCCCAGTCATGCGCGGGTTTAACTGCAGGCTGCCTTGAGTCGTCAAAGACTTTGCCTGTAGGATGGTCAGCGACCATCTGAGACGAATGGCGCGGCACATCCGGCGCCGGGCCGAGCGCTGCTGCGCGGAGAGGGGAGGGCACTTGGAGCACCTTTTTGACTTTCGTGCGTGTGATGTCAAATGACCAAGATTTGTCAAATGACCAAGGTTTGCAACTATTGGCCATCAGATTTTATTAACAATACCGAACAGATTTTATAAATTTGTCATTCTAACAATGTGCTGTTTATATGTAAAAAATATATATGTTACGGGTCATATGCTAACTTGGGCAGTATGCAAACTACCCGGGCAGTATGCAAACTACCCAACAGCCCGGGCAGTATGCATACCGCCCGGGTAGTATGCATACTACCCGACCCCTTGGGCAGTATGCATACCGCCCAAAAGCTCGGGCAGTTTGCATACTACCCGCTTTTTGTCTTTAAGTTATGCATTCCATGTCCATTTTAGAAATATTAATGGCTGTCTGAGTAACGTAGTTTAACCGCGAAGCCTTATTTGCGTCAAACGTGATCTTTGAGGGGTGGAATAAGGATTGGAACATGACAACTTAAAATCATTTTCCCCAGAAATTCATTGTTAACCCGCGCCCTGCTCTGGGGGGGGGGGGGGGGGTTGAACACTGTTTTTAAACACAAACACAAGGCTGTGTTTTTTCGCGAATATCTCAAAAACGGCGACGCGGAGTGCCGCCGTTTTTGGCACACCTAATCATACATCTTCTACCTATCTTGTAAAAAGTTCAGACCAAGTTCATTCAAGGTCAGGTCACCAGTCACCTGAAGTGACCTCACCTCATAAAAAGTTGCAATGTCTGCCATAGCTACACCGAGTGACTGATCGCTTTGAAACTTTCAGCGATTGCTAAGAGTAAGAGCAAATACAAAATGCTTATCTCAGGATTTTGATATCAATGACCTGTGACCTGGTGATGACCTATGACGAAAAATGACTGGAGTACTTTTGTCATTATTTTTGACGCTTTTTAACGCTGCTTGCCGCATCTTACATGCCGCTTAGTTCTGTGCCGCTAAGTGACACAGGAACCGAGTTAGGGGTTTCTACCCCCCCCCCCCCTTCAGCCCGGCCCGGCTAGCGCCGAGCATCGGCCCGGCGCGAGTTAAAGTGTCTCATTGACATATACAGCGAGCTATTGCATTAACTAGTCTCACGAGCCGCGGTCAGCATATTGCCCGAGTAAGCATCTTGCCCGTGAGCTGAAAGGTGGGTAGTATGCATACTACCCGGGCAGTAAGCAAACTGCCCGGGTAGTTAGCATACTGCCCAAGTTAGCATATGACCCGTAACATATATATATTAAAATATATATTAAAAATATTATATGCCTTTCGCGGAAGCTAACTTTATGTCATCTGCTAATTAAAACCCTGTATATTGTGGCTTGGAAGTGCAGTTGGCAGCTGATGTCGAGAGCCGAGAGGCGCTACGTTTTGGTAATTTGGTGCTCGAAAGCGTTGGAATGCATGCTCTTTTAGAGATCGGCCGTGGTATGTATGTACTCATGTTTTGGACACCGTTTTTTGTGCTGGTCTTGGCGACAGAGTGCATTGCTGCTGAGGTGCATTGTACAGAATGTACACACTGAAATAAGTGCATTTTGTCCAGCGTCGAGAGGCTGTGATTTTGAAGATCAAAGGCTGGAAGTGGTGCGTTGCTGAATGTGCATCGCAAATTCCTAAATTAAGCATAATGTGTTCCGATTGAGGTCTGGGGGTCTCTTTATCTCTCAATAACATATGTTCAACTTCTCTGAAATGATGATACCTCGTTAAAAAAAAACATCGCGAGATTGGTACAAAGGCCAGCAGATAATATTGATCAGCTCTTTGGTATATTTGCACAGATATGACTACAAAGTCAGATCCAAGTGTAACCAGTTCAAAAAACAATGCAAACAAGCGTTGTAAGTTACCTCCCTGCACTACCTGGCAACCTACTCACAAGTATCTACTTTCTCGTGGGTGCTTTGAGATTCATTTCATATGCACTGACACATCACTCCGAGAACAATCTAAGCTCATTGTAACAAAGAGGGGACTGATCGAAACTCCAGTGTGCCCGAGGACTGAAGTCGAACAACTTAGCTTCTTCGGCTTGGTACATAGCACAACTAAGGATTAGCATCTACACCTCTAGCACGTTTAATGCACGTGACAAACACATATACGCTGAGCGTGCGCTCTCCGTTAAACACGTGTTTGTGACGTTGTGGAATGTAGCGCTAGCATTAACGGTGACTTCCGCACAAAACAGGGCTGGTGCTGACCGGCAGCACGATGCAACAAAGCCAACCATCGCTGCTAAGTCAACACTAAGAACACGCACAAATACGGGCACAACATACAGTGGGAATATCACATACAGCAGGCCCCTGTCTGCTGGCTTCGCTGTGACCTCGTGGTCATTAGCACGGGCCGTCGGTCCAGGGCGGCGGGTCTACGGCTCACAGGAGGTGGGGGCCTGAAGAGGTCGGCGTTGCGGCGCCACACTCCGAGCCGGGGCTAACGATGCAGTCCGCTCTGCGATCGCCGACGGACCAGGGACGTCGTCGGCACCTGCGTGACCTCATCGCGGCGGGCTCGAGATTCTGCAACGCGTCGCTTGGAGCTCCTCACGCGGGGAATGCCATTATTAATGTTACCGGCGGAATTTTTCATTGAGCCCGACTCCTTCTCTCTCGTCAGCTTTTTCTGATGGCCGTATTCGAGACGTGGCACCATCCTGTGCCGCCGGGTGACCTCGGGTCGCGGCCCTGACCTGTCAGCCTGGCTCAGACTGGCCGATGCCCGGTCACACCTCCCCCGGCCTGTGACTAGTGGGAGCAACACGAACCGGCCGCTTTACACCAAACCTCTAGGCGGCACCTGAAACAGCAGAGAGTAGAGTTAGTCGGGTAAATAAAGAGAGCGCTTTATTATCTATCCAGCCAAAACATCCGGATGGTGTTTTATATGCAGCAGAAAGTGTGAGACTACAGCTAGCGATCTGTATGTTTTCTTTATCACCACGGGGCCGCGGGGGCAAGAGTGAAATGTGACCACTGCCCTCCACTGTACTCTGAGGGCAGGACCACCTCTGTAACCCTGCTTTCCTGACGTCTTTGGTACCGGGAGTACGGCTGGCATTCTTTCTTTCTATACCATCATCACCGATAGTCTGCCGCTCCATGCAGTTCCGATTGCGTTTTGTGCTCGTTTAATTTCGACCAGCTCCCCTCCGCCAAAAGCTCCGTGTGAAATCTGGTCCTCTCTTTATAGGATATGTTTATTCATGCTATTAGCCAGAGGGACAAAAGACCCATTTGGTGATTGCCGCGAAGCCCAGCGAGGGGAGCAAATGAGAGCCGCTCCTCGATATTAGATTACATGAGCGCTGACCGTGGCCGAGCTAAATGAGCTTCCTCGCCCCTGACGTAATGAAACCGGACAGGTACTGGGATACGAACTGATCATTGACGAAGATAAACAGAATTTGCATGATAAAGATGATGCGTCAACACGAAATAACAGGTGAACATTACCTAATACCGGTTCGTTAGTTTGTTTGCCTAAATGAATCAAAACGAACAAATCGTTGCTTGGTTCGCAAGGAGAAGAAGCTTAGGCATCTACCGTCTGACCTGTCTCTCTGATACAGATCCACCCCCTGATCTGCATCTATCCCTGAGACAGACTTACTGCAGGACTGCGCCCCCTTTCAGGCACCCCATGCAGAAGCCTTCAGGCACCGCATCAGGCAAACACGCTGCAATGGCTACACGACTGCATGGCAGCTCGAAATGAGTAGTCCAGAGGAATCAGCCTGAAACTCATTGGCGCACTTTGGGCCAAGTGGTGCGAAGGACAGGTATGAATGGTGGCATCAAAGGACGAGTATCAGCGACACCAAGGACAGCGTTTCCCAGTGGAGGGGAGGGACGGTTATACTCGGCGTCAATGACGAGTGAGGCGGACGGCGCGGACGGGTTCCGGCGCCGCGGCAGATGGCTCGGCCGGCCGGAATGCCGCGAGGTAATCATATCAGGGCGTCCGGAGCGGGCCGGGCATCTGGCGCCCCCGGTCCGGAGGGGCGACAGGTGGGCCACCGGGCGACAGATGGCGACCGGCCGGCCCCGGCGGCACCACCGGGGGACCGGCACCGCCACCGCCGGCGGAACGGGGACCGCAGACCGGAACGGGGACCCGTGACTAGAGACCAAAGACCAGGCCCGAGACCAGAGACCAAAGACTGAGACTGGAAGCCAGGGCCGGACACTGGAGACCAAGCCCGGGGCCAGAGACCCGGGACCAGGACCGAGAAGACTGGTGGAAGCTGTCATCAGGGAGCCTCACTTTGGGCATCGGGCAGTCTGTGCTACCCTGCCGTGAACGACTATTCCGTGCTTACCCAGTAGCCATACACATTCATTCATTCATTCATTCATTCATTCATTCTTCATTTTTTTTTCTTTCGTTCATTCGTTCATTCATTCACTCATTCAATCATTCATTCATTCATTCAGTTTTTGACCAGATTTCCTAAGTGTGACCCTAATTGCTTAGGTTCATTTGGCTTCAGCAATTTATCACCCACCGCCTTATGAGCTCATGAGGCAAATTATTCACTGAGCACAGATTGCCAAAAAACATTAGCCAATATAATGTTATTGCTGAAATTATTCCAGTCAGGCAACTGAGGCAAAACCTTCAGCCACGTAATTCATATTTCATATACATCTTGTGATGTTTAACAATCAAACAAACTCCATGGGTAGACATCGACAGACGGGGCCGCTCGAACCGACCGCGACTCCCCGACGTTAGGGGTCAGCTACCGTCGATGTCGGCGTAACCACTGACCTGTTTGAGCGGCAGACTGGCGGTCGTGTCGGTCGCCGTGTTTTCGGTGACCTCCCGGAGCGGCTGGCGGCGCTTGGCGGGCGGCGCCCTCGTCTCCAGCTGCCGCTCCAGCTGGCCGATGTAGTCGATGACGTGCCGGATCACCTCCAGCTGCGAGACGGGCCGGTCGGGGGGCACCAGCGGCACCAGCTGGCGCAGCTGGGCCAGGTAGGAGGCCACGCGCCGGCCGCGCCGGCCGCTCTCCCCTGCGCGCACACCGTCAGACTTCATGGCAGCTGGGTCGGTACGGACAGCAGACACCGCCGGACTCACAGGGGCCGCCGCCGGTCCTGGACTGCCGCCGTGCCGACCCGTTCCAGGGGAGACTCCAGGCAGACGCTGGCTCCGCCCACCGGCGCCGAGTCGCACGCCGATTGGCTGCTGCGCGACCGGCCGCGTCGCCCGGCAAAATGAGCGAGCAATGTGTGCGGGTCTCGGCTGGCAGACGACCGACCTCCATTACTCTGCAACGGGACTGAGGCCGGCAGATAACGCTTCACCAACAACATTTCGCCATATTCTCCCGCTTTAAGATATTTTGAAAATGTGGGAACGCCGTACGGGTCTCGTATCTACCTCAATGTTTGGTACTCTGTTATTCATCTGAGAATGTAAAGACAGCATGTTTTCAGCATGTATAAGCATAACAGTAGGTACTTTTTTACATGCACCGGGAAAACAAGTCGTCCCTTGTTGAAGCGATGACGTTTCTTTCTCGATTATACCGTTAAGTAGCCCTAATCGATGTCAGGTGACCACAAAAGCAGGTTGGTGTGTTCTGGCCTGGGAAATATTGTGTTCCAGAAATATTGGAAATATTTTGAGGGAAGCTTAAACACAGCTTTCTATCTTCTCTGGCTGTACCCGTCCCAAAGTAACCAGCCTCTAAAATGTTGCTAAGAGTGACCGCGGGTGGAATCTTCCCTCGTCCAAGAAGGCCACGAGTGACGCTTTTGATCAAGAGAGTTGGTAAGTGACTGGCCCTTGAACTCAATGTGCATGGTAGGATAATGGTTGTGAAAGCAGCATCTTGGTCAAAATGCCCATTTTTTTATCGACGCCGAGGACATCAGTTATACGGTTGGGCATACAGCTTCAATGGATAATGGCGTTTTTATGAATTATTATAAGCTTGTGGAGCTGAGCTTAGAAGGGTAACACACAACAAGCAGCCACCAAAAACCCTAGGCAAAACTGCAACCAGTGCAACGCGCTGGCTGCAAACAAAACAAAACGAGCCTGGCGTTTGTACAGCTCGTTGCAACGACACAAAATTCAATCAAACTCGAAAAACTCAAGTCACGAGGCGAATAGCGATAAATCGAAAAATCGAAAAACCGACGCGAAAAAGCGATAAATCGAACCGAAAAAGCGAAAAACCGAAAAATCAAAAACCGAAAAAGTGTCCCGTGTAGCTTGACCATAAGGGCGAAACGACCTATTTCATTAAAGACGAGATTTCCTACGGAACTTGCGTTACAGTCCTGGCATGACAAACAAAATTTAGGCATCATATTGGCGTGAACGGCTCCATATCATAAAACGTTTTTTTTTCAATTTTGAATGGGTCAACCCATCCGACAAGGCCAGCAAGAGCGAATTTCACTTATTGGGGATAAGAGTTACACGCATCTCAAGAGCATTCCACAGATTGCGAGAGAGAATTTCACTTATTGGACTAAGGATTTCCTATTGCATTCAGTGTTGTCACAACCATCGCCTATCATTATTCAGAAGCTGCCGGCAGTTCAAGCACAGCAGTAGACCGGCGGCGGTGCAGGCTTGTATCAAATTATGTGATACGACGATATGTCGGCAACACATGGCAGTGAGTCAGGTGCAGACAAGTGGCAAAGCATGCCGATAGTGGATGTTGTATGTACGAGTAGGTCCACTGAATATGCTGTGCAAACAAGTATTGCTATGCGATAGCTGATAATGTCTCTGATACTGAGTGAAGTGAAGGCCAGCCGACCACACCCTAGCGGTGGAAGAGACGTGATCATTGATTTGTAGGACAACACTGACGTCCTAAACATTGAACAGATTATGTTTTTTTCTGACAGGCTAGGTGATAAACTGTGAGTAGACCGTAGACGTTCCATGATGAATAAAGTAGCAAAGAAACTGAAGATAGGCACCCACTTTCGGATTGCTTAATTTTATGCAGAAACAGGGAAGACGAGAAACTGAGAAACAGTGACGCTGATCTTATACTTTTCCCAACAATCACATATGTAAGTACATAAAATAGGAGTTCTGATGTCTGCATTCGCATTGTGAGGAAAGTAGTAAGTACTAGAGATGTCAATCGCATACCAACTTTTTGGTATACCGATACCAAACCGATACCGCCCTGGTATTTGGTATTTCAGTCCTAATGTGTTTGGTATTTTGTTGGTATTATGAATTATCGCTAATGTAACGCTAGCTAACGGTTCTAGACGATCCGAGAACTGTATTGACATTTCCATTGCAATCCATAGATAGTATCGTTGAGCGAGCCATGTTACTAGATTCATACCCACAGCAGTGTACAGTAGACCAAATATCGCACGCAAGCCGGTACACATTAACTCCATCGATGAGGAGAGAGCCAGAGCAGCACTACCCGACCCTGTTCTGTGGTGGCGCAGCATGTGCGAGAGCGCCGCAAATAGTGAACCCCAGTCGGCAGATGACCTGTGTAACGCATTGACTGAATTACTGTATGAGGTATGCCGCACCGCGCAGCGAAGTGACCGTTCGGCCCCATCTGGTGTTGCTCAGGTGGCTTATGATGCACAGTCACGATGGCAGATTCTGTTACATAAGCGAGATCCGAAGCTTATTTGGTCTTCAATTAACTGGAATGGTAAAATAGAAACACGCAGTCCAGGCGAGAATGCGCCCAGTGACGATCATTTCTGCCGACATTTCGAAGGCCTATTAAACCCCTCGCCCGGTGAGACTAAAATAGTTGTGCCTAATAGTGACATGTACGTACCGGTTCTAGACGATCCGATCACCACCCGCGAAGTGAGAGACGTTATAATGAGGTTACGTCGTGATAAAGCCGCAGGAGTTGATAGTGTGCCGCCAGGTATTGTTAAACTTCTTGATGGAGAATGGTTGAATATCGTAACCTATATGTTTAACATGGTTTTTAACGGAGCTTTTCCAGAACAGTGGTCTTTCGCGAAAGTTTTTACGATTTTCAAAAAAGGCGACACTTCAGACGCCAACAATTATCGCTGAATCAGCATTCAGAGTGCCCTTGCTAAGGTGTATGACGGAATTCTAAACGATAGATTCGTTCAGTGGTACAGTCGTGTACAGGTTGATGGTCCCCCACTCTTTATCCACCGGGTTCCATATGGCTCAGCATTGGCAGCAGCCGCCTGGTACTGGTAGGCTGTGCCGCATGACCCGAGAGTGAAGCGGCACAGTCTACCCACGCCGTTTGACATCGGCTCGGGTCGCCGGGTGGAGCGCTTTGTAGACCAGCTGTCGCGTCAGACCAGCGCGGGGGAGGGGCTCGTCTCGGTGGTTGGCGTGGGCTGGCGTGTGGTGTGGGGCGTGTTGGTGGACCATGGGGGCTGGGCGGGTGTGTGTGGTCACTTGCACTCACTGAACTCTATAATGTGGAATGCGCATCGGCCGCCAAATGGTGTCCAACGGTGCCGCCATGTTGCGCAGACCAGAAAGCGGCCGCCGCCTGTGCTGGGGAATAGGGAATTCGGGACCTCGATTTACGTTTGCGGTCGCTGCATCCGTTACGCTCAAGCTATGTGGACACGGAACCCGGCATCTTACGCAGAATTGAGTGGAGAACAAGATGAAATCATAAAAAAATTCTCAGCTACAAGGAACTAATACGTTAAACCCTTATAAGTCAATGGGGAAATATGAAAATTGCTATTTTGGCGCCGAGAATGATCTGAAACTATCTCAAGCATATAGAATCATGATTTCATGCACTTTTTGCAAGGTTCTATGCTTCATATTTGCATTGTTGCCCTTGCGTGACGTCATCTGTGACGTCACAAGGGTCACATTTTTTCTTCAATAACTCCCGATCAAATTGAGCTAGCGAGTCGGGAAAGCCACCAATGGACTCAGGAAGACCTGCCGAATCGAATGATATGCGACATGACCTCTTTCGACCAACTTCGTGACCTGGGGGTGCTGACCTGACCTTGACCTGAGGTCAACACCCTAAGTTGACCTGACCCGAACAAAAAGTATATCACTCGATGCGCCTGAGCTAGCTGAACACGATGATGCCAAAATCGCGGCTCTACGGCCATTTTTGGCGAAGCTATTTACCAAAAACCGAACCCGTGCCTTAGATCACTTGACCTGACCTCAGAGGTCACCGGTTGACCTGAGACCCTTACAGCGGGTTCCTACCATTCACTCTGCATTATACTTTGCCGCATACGACCACTTAACCGCTTAATTCTAGTTTAATTAGCGGTGCATTAGCGAGGAGGGTTCAATCAACCCCCTCGGCCGGGGCAAATGTAGGTCAGGCGAGTGAATTTGAGGAATTCTGAAGATACGATCGTGTTCCCCACTCAATTCTGCGTAAGATGCCGGGTTCCGTATCTACGTAACTTGAACGTAACGGATACGGCGGCCGCAAACGTAAATCGAGGTCCCGAATTCCCTATTCCTCAACGCAGGCGGCAGCCGGTTTCTGGTCTGCGCAATATGGCCGCCACCGTTAGACACTACGGCCAATAGGGTTGAAGCGGCATTGCTCCCCTGTGCTTGCACTGCATTGCACATTTTGCGTCGCTTAACAATTGCATTCCTGTTTTTGCTAAGCACAATGCACGGAAGACCCAGCGAATATAATTTACTTGTGCATTGTGCAAAACGTGATTTGGCACGGTATCGAGGCAACCATAGGTCTTGTGCCACATATATGCATGATATTTAGGCAATACGCTTATGAAAATGGTAGATTGATGAGATCGGATTGATCCTGGACGTCAATTCGTATGCTTATGTCGACATGTATTAAATGAACGAATGAATCAATCAATCAATCAATCGACAATCGACATGTAGATATAAAACCGTATAAATGGCTCGCAACCACTAAAATCAAATCAGATCCTAACTCGGAAAAGTAGCCGGAGCCCCGATGAGGCTCGAACCGGGACTCCACGTTGAAAGTTCTGCCAATGATCCATCATCATTCCACCAAGCTAGAGCAACCGGCACCCGAAACCACCAAAACATTCATTAACTTTGCTGCCGACCTCCCGGCCCCGCCGCCCGCCCGGCCAGACTTTGCCCCAGCCGTGGCCACCATCC